AACAACAGCAGCACGTTTAAGCTTGATAATCTGTTGTTAGAATTTATTTAATATTATTTTCTAGACCAGGATCTTTTTCTACGTAGCTGATGGCTGGTAACTGTGCAGGGGCGGATCTAGCAAGGTTTAACCAGGGGGCCCGATAGGGCATTAACAGGGAAAAGGGGGCACAAAGACATACTTTATTCTTTATTCTCATTTAAAATGTCTAGCTTTTAATAAATAATTATTCGAATCTTACAGCCAAAGTTTTAATCTGATGAAAAATGTATAGAAGTCCATTACTGTATATAGTAACTATTAAGTCTAATATACCCTAGTAAGCTACAGTACTTTTTCCTTTGGGAAGATACCATCTGTGCAGTCTGCAATTCTGCTGAAGAAAGATGTTGAATCTGTTTAATTGCTCTTGAAAAATAATTTATTTCTCGGCATTTTTTTTCCACACTGCATCAAATTAAAGTTGATTACGTCGATTAAGCATCATGAGGTGGAGGGTGGTTCCCTATTTTTTTTTTATTATTTTTTTTGCTGGGAGTTTTATAACCCTATTAGTTAGGTTGCTTACTCTTTAAAATACCAGAATAGGGAGGATGGATCAGGTTTAAGTTTATTAGATTGCTCAGTGTTGCTGAACTATGAAATATCTTGGGTGCAGTATATGTTTTGCATACAGGTATAACAGAATAGCTTTAGTGTTGTTGTTTTTTTAACTTGAGTATGAACTTATACAAAAAGCAGCAAGATATTAAAAAAACTGTTTTATTGATTAAAAAACACTATATCGGATTCATATCGGTATCGGCAGATATCCAAATTTATGATATCGGTATCGGACATAAAAAAGTGGTATGGTGCCATCTCTACTTTATACAGCACCAAATCACAACAACAGTTGCCTCGAGGTGTTTTATAATGTAAGCTAAAGACAGTACATTAATAGAAAGAAAAACAAATGGTATGTTTTAATTTGATCAAATTTATCTAAGATGATGACAAATGTTTGTGTTGAGGATTATCTTTCTGTAAAAGTCACCGCACACCACTGATTTAAGTGCATTTAGTTTTTATTAATGTTTTGGTGCCTTTACTTTGGTTTTTTATATAAACAAGTGCCAGATGAAAATGAACTTGTATGTGAAGTTGTTTCCTGCGGATTTCTGCATTACCTGTTAGGAAACAAACCCTTAGGAATCACATGCTTTGAATGAAGAGCTGGTCTGACCCTTTGTATAGTTGTAAAGTGGAAACTGGCAGATCCAAGACTTGCTAGAATAATAAAAACAACAAAAACAAACAAACAAACAAAGACATGCGAGTGCATGTTACTGACCTTGTCATCGTTTTCTGGGTTGGAGCTGTGGCCGTCACCATACAGCAGGGCATACTGTCGCCATATCTCAGCGTCACTGCTGTGGCGAGAACTGACCCGACCTAGGAGCTCCTTCAGTTTGGACTGGAGGGCTCCTGCCTGCTCACCTTGGCTGTCTGTCAAGTTCTCAACAACTGCTTTCACCAAGATCTGCAGAATCTGATGGGAAAAAAACAAGTTTAAACATCATCATGGAAGATCTGATTTACTGATTTCAATGTGTTGCTGCAACCTTAATCACTGTTAATCCAACCAGCAACGTTGCTCAAGACCATTAAAACTCCAATGACTGAGAGGCTGGCTGGAAAATAATGGGCTTGTGGGAAATGCGGTTTTCAGTTTTTATTTTTAAACTTGAATTTGTGATGGTATTACAGAAGTCTTTAAATAAATAGAGTTACTAGTCTGCTCATGTCTTAATGGTAATTATGCCAGTTTGCCACAGTTTGTATTATTTATTTATTGTACTAATAACTGTACTGTCAAAAAATAAATAAATGAAAAACAAATAACACAAGGAAGAAAACTTCTGCATGTAATACTTAAGCTTACTATTGGAACAAAGATGAGTAATCAGAGGCCAATTGCACCAATAGAGTTTTGGTCTGATCATAAACTAAGCCAATCATAACTTTTTAAGTCATTCTAAGTCTGTTGCAACATCTAGGTTTAAGCCGCCTTCTTGGTATGAGTGGGTGTAAATCTGTGGCCAGCCAGGAGCCAAAGTCAAAATTAGTACCGACATTAGGCATCACATGTTGACTTTACAACAAGCAAACTTTTAGGTGGTAAGGACAAAAAGCCATCAGCTGGACATATACAAACATGAGGAGATTAAAGGTTTCAATAGCTGTCATGGTCAGGTCCCATCTTATCTTAAACACTTTATATAAAAGGAGAATGGGACCCCTTTTCTGTGGAAGCAGTTTGGATTCAGGAGACAGACACCTTCTCTACTTTTAAGATTACAGTAGGCTTAAAATGCTCCTTTTGTTAAATAGTTAAGGTTGGATGAGGTGACCCTGAATCCTCCATCAGTTACTTTGCAATAAACTTGGTGGTGGCTATCATGGAAGATATGATTTACTGATTTGTGTTGCCGCACTCGTTAATCACCGTTAATGTTACAATACACAATAATAAGCCTTGAGGTGAATGTTTGGGGCTTTCTAGATAAAAACTGACTTGAAATTGATTAAGCCTGGTTCTGTCGCAGATTTCTTGCTTTTAAAAGGGATTAAGATTCGTGTTGAAGTGTCAGGGTGTGAAATTAGGTGGAAAAGTACTAATTTCTGTGTTGAGAGAAAACAGGCAAAAAGTTTCTAGGAAGTTCATTTCAAGTTCTATCCAAAAATGGAAAAGAAAATCTCCTCCCTGTGAACAGTAACTGTGAGGAAATGAATGCATGTGCAACTATAGCCCCCATTTAACCCCATGAAGCACATTCTGTTGTAGATTTCTTGCTGTTAAAAGAGAGTGTTTCCTTTCCAGCATCAAGTGCTTGCTTATAGGCATTTTGTCTAATTGTTGGGGTTTTCTTTGTGTTATACAGGGTCTTTACCATCCATCCATTCGCTTCCACTGATCTTTTTCAGGGTCGCGGGG